GCCCCTCGCCCCGCACCGGCCGGGCTGGAGGAGGAGGAGGAGGAGGAGACCGGGCGCTTTCACTCCTGCTGGCTGCAGAGGCTGAGGCAAAAGACAGAAAAAGGAGGAGGGGAATAAAAAGTAAAGAGACGGAGAGAGAGAGTGAAAGAAAACTAAGCCCAGCTTTTGCCGGTGCTGCTTGGATTGGATCTGGTTTGAGTTTCCTCTCTGCTGGCTTGTGCAGCAAGAGAGGAGGAGTGGGGGGAAGCAACTCACTCGCTCTTCCTCTGAAGCTTAAGCAAACGTGCTGGTGACTGCACTGGTGGGGAGCTGCCCTGGGTGCAGTTGCCTCGTAGCTTTGCTCTCAGTTACTAAAGAATTGCCTGGACTTCTCGAGGACCTGGAGGAAACAGCCATCACTTCACAGACCCGATAGTTGCGCAGTGCCTATAGACTTGACATGTTCTTTACCTAGGGGATTCTTTTTTTTATTATTTTTCTCCCGTGTCTCTCAGAACAGCAGTTCCTTGAGTGTGTGGCATTGAAATCCATTGCTTTGTTAACAACTTTGGGAGATATTTTTAAAAACTTTTTTTTCCTCTCTTTTGTTTTCTTTGCCTTAAAAAAAAAAAAGGAAAAAAAAAAGATAGTCCTTTTGGGGGGAGGGGAGATGATCGTGCTGATGTGGAATAAGTGCTCCTGCTGTCTCCTCTTACTAGCCGCGGTCCTGATCGTGGAGAGCTCCCAGCTAGACAGCTCCAGCTCCAAGGTGAACTCCATCAAGTCCACCCTGATGGGGGAGGCTCCAACTCAGGCAACCAACAGATCTGCAGGCATCCACCAGGGACTGACGCTTGCTAGCAGTAAGAAGGGCAAAATGCTAGAGCAGATGGGAAAACCTCCCAAGCACTATCACCGGCAAGGAGAGGTAGGACATCGCTTCATTGCTCGAGTGTCTGTTCGTCTGCGTGCTATATGCAAATAATCGCTAGTCCTCCCCTCGCATTGTTTTCAAAGCTTTACTGTGTTAAATTAATTAATTTACTTCATCGGGGTTGTCTGGGATAATATAATCTCATAACTGGTGTTAAGAACTGTGCAAGTGGGAGTTGGAAGGTTTTAAACCTTTCATTTTTTTCTGTAGGATTAGTAACTGATGAAAGAAAGAGTAATCTAAAAAAATATCCTCAGCATTTCTTTGTTTGACTCCTTCAAAAGGCTGCTAGAAGTAAAGGAAGAAATTTCTTGTTAACTCTCAGACGCTAAATGAAATGAATTTGAATAGGTGAGAAAAATTTGAGCATGAACTGAAAACTGTGTTTACAGTGGTGAAACAAACTTGGTTTTAAAAAAATCATACCTAGCAAGTTGATCTCTGATGTCTTTCTCCATGGTGAGAATAAAAAAGCATGCTGTGCCGATGGTATAGTTTAAGGCACATTCATTTGCTCAATATGACAGAAAATAAATTTTAGGTTTCTTGTCCAGAATACGTTCCAGTGGTTGTGGAAGTTTTGTTTGGTTATGACCAGTTGAGATAAGCAGGGAGTAACAGCCCTGAATATGAAGTTTGAGTGTAAGGAAGAAAGAAAAGGTTATGGAAACTTTATGAAAAAAAGCCCCTGACTTGCTTATGCAGTCTTCTTTCCTGTCTGCCCTGCTTGGAAGCTTGAAAGTCTGATAGAAAATTTTCTTCATTCGGCTACCTTTGTGGTAAACTATAAAGCAGCATTTTAAGCCATCAGTCCTCTACTTCCCTATCAAGTCTCAACTTGGATGGTATGAATGTTGCGCATTGTGGTGTGGAGGAGGTAGACTTCTTCAGAAAACATAGATTTTATTCTATTGGTTATTATTAGTACCTCTAAATACAGCTGCTTTTTATAAGCAACAAACAGTGTAGCAGCAAGGGAGCTGCCAACATTCAGCACTGAAAAGGCAAAATACTCAATGCCTGAAGGGTCTGTATCTTGCCTACATTTTCCTTAAAGCAGCAGCAAAGCTGCAAATTCAAGCAATCCACTGAATTTGCTGAAGTGTTTCACATCAGCTGCCTAATAATTGAATGTTATCATTTGGGTTTGTGTGCAGGCATAACAACAGTGGTGGTAGTTTTGGTTTTTGCGTGTGAGAAATTTGTTTTTAAACTCCTCCAAGCTTTCTTTCCCTAGCCACTCAATTGTTTTATAATTTACCCAGAATTTGGTCACCTCTCCTTACCTCTGAGCAAAGTTTAGTAACAGATGCTGTGCTGAAGTTTCATGTTACTAAAGTGCTGCGCTCTTCCCTAGTGCACACTGTAATAATTACTATGTTAAATCACCTTGAGGAAATACAGGAGCATGATATGCTTTCTTGTATGTTCTCCTTGGGTTTTCTTTTGTTTTCTGTGTATTCACAAAAAAGTCCATGGATAGGACCTATTTTCCCACTGAGTGTTATCTCAGTCTCATGAGTTTCAGTGCAGGTACTTGTGGGGCTGCGCTGTACAGCCCCAAACACGATGTATAATTTTTTCCTTTTGAGGAAGTCTTGCCACCTTTCCCAAAGTACAACATCCTTAGCACTTCAACGTGTATTCAGCGCAATGTTGAGAATGATTGATTATAATTCACACAGTTCCTGGAAAACAAGTTGCACTGCCCACTGGTTGCATTTGCAAGATTTGTCCCTTACTTGCCAACCTGGATTGTTTGCTGGGGACTTCCAGTTACTGGCATGAACTCACAAGGTACACTTCACGTCAGAGACAACACCGTAAGTATCTGTAATGGTAGAAGAGGTGACACGCATGTTAAGACGTCCTGTTTGTAGCACAAGCAGAGACCCCTGGAGAATCAGTGACTTTGGCTCCCAGGGAGCAAAGCCTGATCTCCCGTCAAGGGCTGTGGGTGCTGATTTCACCCTGTCTCCCTGGGACGCCGTCCCCGGCTCCTGCACAGTCTCACGCTGATGTAGTCCGTGAAAATGACTCAGATTTGCTACCAATAATTGTAGATGTTACTTTGGGCCATCTGCCTGAAGCAACACAATTAACACAGAATTGCAGTAAAAAGAAGAGAAGGAAAAAAGAAGGAAAAAAAGAAGTTGTTACTTCTGTGATAATGCTTTATTTTTGGCGATACTTCCAGTTGCAGGGTTGGTAAGCCGCTGCATTTTTTAACAGTGGTGTCACACATCTCAACCAATTAAGACATGATATTTTCATAATTTTTTTAAAGTACTCTCTTATTAGGTTAGTACTTGATCAGTTTAGATTATGGGACTTTGTGCTGAAGTTTTGCATATCATTTGCTAAAAGAACAGGCCTATGCTTTTCTTTCTAAAACAATCTGTTGCATTAGTGGAATTTATAGTGTGCCAAAAGTAGCAGTACCTTTTATATCTTGGTAACATGAAATGGTGAGTTGAGCGTCTTGTTTACAAGTAGGAATTTGTTTTAGTAAGAACCAACGATATGCGGCTTAACGGAAAACTAATAAAATTTTGCTGTTGCAGTTGTGACAGCTCTGAGCTGTACGTTCAGCTCTCTGCAGATACACATAGTGAAAGTCAGAGAGCTCTCACCAAAACTGATGAAAGGACCATCAGCCAGCAACCTATTTACTTATGCAGCTTGGTAGACTAATGCACTTTCAGAACATTTCTTTAATATGTTAATGTAACATTTTCAATTATGTTAATTCTCAGGACGAGGAGCAACTTGGGAGTCTTTAATCAGCACTAAATCAACGGATACAATAGTTCAGGGCTTATCTGGAGTGTTGATGTATTTCAGCTGGTAGTTACAGTGCTTCTGCCCAGAAAGGGAAGATCCCGCACTCCTTTGTCAGGCAAAGTTCCAGTTCAAATTAATGAAAATACTCACATGAGCAAAGCAAGCTGATCTGGCTTGCTGGAGGGACTGGCGGGGCAAATGTGGATTTTAGTTAGACTTACATTTTTATGTCTTTCTGAGGAATATTATTTATTTTGTGTTCTTATTCCCTTTACTGCCTTGGATCAGCAGAGAATGAGAAGCACTGACGTGCTAAATTGGTGAGATTTCACTGTCTTCACTGTTCTTCACTGTTACTCCTGTTTTCCCCTTTCTGCAAACTGTTAATGTTTTCCCAATTTCACAGAGAATCATAAAGTGTCTACAGCAGTTGCACAAGGGAAAGAAATGCTCAGAAATAGGACCGTACAGTGCATGTTAGACTACGTTACTTTTGGGGGGGTCAGTACTGTCTGCCATCAATTTCCTTTCAAAACTTGATTTAGAGAAATGGCTTCTAGGAACAGCTAACATCTCAGTACTGTAGCCTCTCTAGGAAATTGTTGTGGGCATATCATGTCTCTAAAGAAATACAATGTAGTGAATAGTCGTAAATGAAAGAGGCCAGATTAGCAACGATGGTGGATTAATTTTTCTGCTTGTTAGATACAGCTTCCACTGTGTTAGGGCAAGCTCTCCCGTGTGAGCACTCTTGCTCAGCTATAGGGATGCAACTTGAAAGGGAAAATCCCGTGTACTGTAGCTGTGATTGAAAGGCATAGCCGTTCCATAGATTCCTGGATGATGGCTCTGTAGCCTCTTTAATTCACTTCACTGTCTTTCTGACTTCTTGCCTCTGGGTTATAGTCCCCTCTCTCTCCCGAGGCTTGTCCCCTCTGTCAGTGCTGGGGTTTGCACTCCTTTGCACTCATCCGCCTTTAATGATCTGGTAGGCTGAGACCTACCAAATTTTATTTCCAGACGTTTTCCTTCTTTATAGGGCGCTATTATCTTCTGCCCTTTCCAAGTCCTGGCCAAAAGCCATTCTTTCAGCTCTTTTCCCCAGCAAGTCGTGTCTCTCGTTCCCTTTGCTGCTGCGTTGGGTTTGTGCTTCCCGCTGGGACTATCCCTCCCACTTCCCCCACGTGCATGATGGGAGCAGCAGCAACGATGGGAAGAACTGGGACAGCCAAGAGAGGGGACCGGCACAACTGTGGGGCTGAATAAGAGATAATGAGGTCTGGAAAAAGGGAGAGAGGAGTGAGTGAAAAGCTGGGACAAGTTTTAACACTTCAGAGGCACGATAGACCAATATTGGCTAAGCCTTTGTATTCCAAATGTACTCGGTTTAATTTTAAAAATGTATTTTTTTAAAACTCTATCACAGCTTGAGCTAAGAGGCTTGAGACCACAGAAGGCAAACCAAAAAGGCATTAATCCAAATGGCTAAGTTGACACTGATCTCATACCTATCAGCACATGGACATACATGTGTTTCTTGAAGAGGACATAGTTACCCACAAAGACTTGCTAGAAAATGCTTGGATGATGCTTTGTAGCAAGTAAAACAGCATGAGTTGTAGTAATTGACTGCAGTGCCCTGAGAATGTTACAGTAAAATGTACCAAAGACACCAAAAATGTAACCGCAATATCTTGAATAGCTAGCAACCAAGACAGTATAAATTATTTCTCCATGGGATTAAAAATAAATTAATTACAATACCTAGAAATTACATCCAGCAACAGCTGGATATTTTTTCTAAAAAAATAAATACAGAATTGCTAAATCTGCAGAGGTCACCAGAGTGACACACGCAGCCATTCTTTGCTCTTGCTGTTTGCTGTTAGGAATCTGGGAGACGTACTGGTTTACTGGCAGCAGTCTTGCTAAATAGCTGAGTGGCTTGTCTCTTGATTGCAAAAATGGGATGCAGAGTATTATCTCCTTCCTGGGTCATGCTTGGTGTCCCCTTCAATTTGTTATTATTATTTGACTTCTTAATATAGAGGAAAAGCTTCTATAAAGTGGCTTTACTACAACTATTTCCTATTAATGTTGCAACAATGCCTAGAAAACTTCCAGGACTCTGATGTGCTATCGAGTGTACAAATGCTTAGGAAGAGTTAGTTTCTGTCCGGAAAGTCTGTCAGAGTCTAAGGACAACACAA